AGCATCAAAGGATGAGAGACTACATCATATTATTATAGTTTAGTTACCTGAAAGAACATGACGTAGCCGTCAGCGGAAGCGGTGGCGAGCGCGCTCCCGTCGGGAGAGAAGGCGGCGTCGAGGATGCAGGCGACGTGCTCGGCGGCGCACAGCGCGCCCGCGCCGCCCACGCGCGCCGACGCCAGCACGCTGCCCGACAGCGCGCGCGTGTTCCACATGCGCGCTGCACACAGACGCACTCAGTACCAATGTCGCCAGAGGTGGACCAAACATAGAAACTGCACTAGGCAACCACCTCATAGGCACCTAAAATTTTTACGCGGGCGTCTCGCGGTATCTCGGCGCCTCTCTGTAACCTAGAACCCTAGGCACTCAATTGCTTTAGGGATCTGAGTAGGTATACTCAATACAATACTACGTATAATACTGGTGTAAACAGGTATGTTTACACCAGTATTATACGTAGTCTAGCCAAAATTGTTCGTCTGTGGTCAGTTAAACTGGCACACACACTTATATCCATAATACGCTGATTTAAGAAACTGGTGATGAACAGGTTTATTAAGACCCCTCAATGAGAGACCAAGTCACCCAGCCATATACAATTGAAGTTATCTTTAGAGGTATAATAGTTTAAGAAAATCTGAAGGTGTTCATTTAATATTACAGAGTTTCCACCAGGTTTGTTACTACAACAATATAACGATCATGTAACATAGTTCATACCGATATTGTCATGGGTGGTAAGCAGCAGTCTAGCCACGTCGTCATCAGGAGCCTCGTCTTCGTCGTCAGGGATGTAGGGACACCACACCACGCGGTGAGAGGTGCCCACTGCACCCGTGTCTTCGCGGACCTCCGCTAGTAGGGTGCATCTGGGTGACAACGTTGTGATATTTTATGGGGGACGGGAAAATCTTTTTATAATAACTATAAGTAGGCTGCGCGACATCACCGCGACCGCGCAGTGCTCATGAAAGAAAAACCCCTCTGTGGTTCGAAACTAGTAGAGCTTTTCTCAGTATATTCACGTGAGTAAACCGCAATTTTTATTTAGCGAGAAAATGTGTTAATGTGTGTGTTATGTTGATTTTGACGTTACTTTTGACAATATACCAAATATATATAAGTAACTAGCTTTACCCACGTATTCCTGTTTATTTCATGGGAGCATTTAATAGGGATAGAAAGTATCCCATCACCTAAGTCAGCCCATACCCTGCCTGTATATCAAATTCATCAAAATCCGTTCAATAGTTTCAGCGTGATTGACAGACAAACATCCAAACAAAGAAACTTTCACATTTATAATAATTATTAATGTGATGGTGTGATAATAGGTAATTATGTTTAACTTATATTTCGTATCTTGATTTAAACAGGCTTGTCTGATAGGTACAATCAAATACACTATCAAATCACAATAATCTCATAATGTAACTTGCTATCAATTTTTCATTTACTTGCTATCTAATGTGAAGAAAGGGTTTTCAAAAGCCACTTACCTCAACCCGCCGTCAGTAACTTCAATCTCATGGACATAAAAGTTGCCCTGTTCGTCAATACATGCCAGTACCACCTGGTTTTGGATATGGGCAAACGCCAGGTCTTGTACCTATGAAATAATAAAATTTTTTGAACTCAATAGCATAAAGTAACTGGTTAAAAGTTGGAGATGATAGTCCAGAGCACTTTCACATTTGTCACCATCCATATTCTTCATGTAAGAACCGATCAAGAATAATATTTGCATATTAACAGACTGAGCAGCGGCTCTTTTTAGTTAACCTGAACCTCTTAATCACAGTTCATAATAATTAATTATTACTTAATCACTTGATATATTGTACCAAAAAACCCCAAAATATGTTCATATAAAAATAGACTCTAAGCATCGGAAATAACCTCTATAACAGAGCTAGTGGACACCGGTGACAGCTTGAGGATTGATCAGTTAATTGTGATTTCTAACCAACATGGATAATTATGGAATACCCATCTTCCGTCGAAAAGGAACACAACCCACTAGTGGACCATTTAGTAGTCAAATAACTATTGTTTTATACAAGTTTTGATAATAACTCACCTCTCCCTTCATTCCCTTGATGAGCGCGCGTCGGTCGGTGCCGGGTTCCGGCGTGTACACGACGCGCACCATACCGCTCCATGTCCCAGGGTTCACAGGATTAGGAGCTGATATAAACGTAAAGAAATTAATATCAAGGTTTGGTACTACATTTATTTTGTGGTATAAAACTGGGTTGTAGAATTGAAACAGGTTCTTTTTATGGGATAGGAAAACAGAAGATGGAACACCTAATGGTAAATGATTAGCACTGCCTATGGATGCACCATAATTACAAGTATGTTGCAAGGAATTTTGTATTTTAGTATACTCTTTCAATTAAAAAGTAAAGCTATAACTAGCCATAGCAGATTTGAATCTTAAGTAAGTTTTTGGCAGTCAGCATTGATTTCATGAGTCAGCATTTCGTTTGAGTTATGGCTAGCAATAAATAATCTTTGACCTAGCCCACTCAAGGAGTCCACATTCCTTTTTATCACATATGTATACTGTATACTAAATATAATTTCACAATGATATATTGTACTTGTTATAAAAATACAAAATGTAGAGGATTCCAGTCTGGTCCTTTGTTCTCAAAATATCCAGTAATATTAGTCTGTATGTTACTTCACTGTAAATTAATTAAAAAAAACTACACAATAATATAATACCTTTAATGCAATAAGCCAGATATTTCCCGCTGGTATGAATAGCCAGCAGTTGTCCGGAGTAAAACTTAGGCTCCCAGTTGTAGTCCACCAAGTTCTTGAGCTTCACCTTGGAGCTACCATGGTCATGGTTCCCAGCATTGGTGTTAACCATGACGTTGGTGGAAAACACTTCAGCACTGCACACTCCATCTCCGTCCGAGAATGATCTGAAAGAGACACATTATATATAATTATTTGTCATTTGACAGTCACGGTTGGATTGAAAACAAAAAACTGAACTAATAATTATGGACTAATATATATGTGACCACTATTGAACAAAGGCCTCTTCTCAGAAGAAGGTTCAAACATAAGCAGTCACCGGTGACCGCTCTCCACTAACTCCTTTTGGGTATGATATATCAACGAATTTGCTTGCTTTACATTTTCTGATCACTAATAGCCATAAGTGTAAGTGATTGGCTAATCATGGTGTTCTGGTGCTTAACCTCTTGACTGCCAGTGTATAAGACACAATAGAAAATGCATTGTGTCTCGCATAGATCTACGTTCCGGCACACAACGGGTTAAAAGGTTAATGTAACATCATATAATGTAATTATTTTATATAAAAAAAAACAGTGCCCCCACACTAGTATTTTCGCCTGTGTGCGGTGCATTTGCAAACATACAAGTTCACATACACATGACACCAAGACCAGGATCAACAATCTGTGTGTCACACAAAGAGATGTACCATGTGGGAATCGAACCACATACCCTCACTTTCTTATTTATATGATTTATAAGAAAGTCTTCCGAGTAAGTTTTGTACATAGACTAGATCAAGTCAATGGAATGATTATTTTGTACTTGTAATGCATTATAAGATACCTGTTTTGAAAGTAACAACAAGATGACATTCAAATATAATAGGTGCAGGTGAAATATTCATAATTTAAATAAATATTTTGGCAAATTATTGCAGTGTAAAATACACTTTTGGATTTGGAATGCACCCAACAAGAGTATAGCATTGCAAGCAGTGTTGTTTTTAAATAATGTTCATACACAGATACCTCCATAACAAGCGAGTACGGTACCTTTACTGTGGCGTGCCACAGTACCGCACGCGCGTGGTATCGCATCAAACAATAGAACTGGAAATTTAGAAGTACCCAAGCAAAACTATGTAATCTAAAATAACTCGACAAAATCAAAGTTACCCCCGTACATACATATTGTAAGCGACATTAAACTATCGCATAGAGATCGTATCATTGACTATTAGTGGACCTTGCATCTAGAAGAATCGGGAAAGCGGAATAGACATTGATAGACTTCGTGATAATCAGGCATGTTTGACATTGTGAGTTCGATGTTTACGGAATAGGTTACAGAGTTTTCAAGCATATTAACGCAAAATCACTCAATATCACCGGTAAATTCAACCTTGTACAACACAGGAAACGCTCAGTTGTTAATATTTATTTGCGTAAGCAATAAATCAAAAGCGAAATTCAGTTTCAGAATATTGTCACTTACATAGTTTGAGTAGCATCCGAAAGCTTCGGAAGCAAAGTTGTCGGTGCCATTGTTGATCTACTCTTCTACTTTCCACATGAATTTCAAAAAGTTTGATACAAATTCACAATAGAATTGTAACTGCAAAAACTCATGCAAATATTACAACAGCAAACCGCTGATGCCGACCGACATGAGAATGCGTTTTGTTTCAGATTCGAAAATTAGTGATCACCCATTTTAAACTTTTCATAGTGTAAATTATTTAAAAATATATATTTAATGTACACATATAATTTTGTATGTTAATATTTTAGATAATTATTTACATGTACTACCCAAAAAATAATACTAAGTTCTTAAAATGAAGCTGTGTAAAAATGTAACAGTGAATTAACGAAACGCGAATGGAAGAATGTAGCAAGTTCTCATTTACAAGTTAGTAATAATAAAATAATCGTGTTGAACTTGTTATGAAATCCATGATTTATAATGTGTATTTTCTATCATATTTTAATCAACCATAATTTATGGGAATTATATATTTAAATTATAAAAACGATCAAAATCTGAAAACTCTACGATCGATTTGGGAATATCAAAGTACGCAAAGAAAACAATCCATATCTTAGTTGACTTGACAGGTGACAGGGCAGTGAATTGATTTTTTCGAAAATGGTAAGAAATATTCGTAAATATTAAATAATTCGCAGTAGTAACGTAAGAGAAACATGATTACAATGTTAATAATTGTTTCAGTCGTTAACAGACAAACTTTCCATGCTTATGGCCCGGCCGGGCGGCGACAATGCCCAGAAAGATGACGTGCCTTGGTGGATGCGCTACGCTGGTCGGGGAGTTGGAACAGTTGGCGGCTTCAGTTCGTATTATTTTACTTTATAATATATATAATACACATGTCACTAACATGGCGAATACGGGATAATGTGTCCGCTTAGATTTGAGTAGAGTTGATCAATAAATCAACATTATTATCTTATCTTTAAAACCCAAATCTACAGTTCCACCCTTGATTCGAGACAATGAGCCTGAAATAATAAACATGTACGTGTTGTAACGAATTGCGTCTTAGCTTGGGTTACAATTGTTACAAAGGGATAATTTGGTGTTACATATTTGCTTAGAAATTCTTGAAGATAATTGGGGCATTAAATAAACACAATTAACATTTTAATGAGTACCTACACTGTTATTTAATGCATTCTTAAAATTATTTTAGAAAAATATAAGAAGGTACCTTTCATTTTTATTTGTCTTTTATGAATGTGCTAATAATATTGGCCAATCAGAAAGGAGTATAAATCTAAAGAGTTGATTAATGTTTGTTGAATGCAATTAAAAACAAACTTAATATTTTTAGATCACTGGCTGAATCAACCAGTTAGTTGTAAAATGTAAAGTGATTTTTACTTGTCTATTGGAAATTTAATTATTGACTGAATAATTATCGCTACCTTAAGAATGACAAATAATAATTATGTAATTAGTTCTGAATTTCAGTATAATGCATATTTCCATGGGTTTGAGGAGAAGGCCTTTGCTCAGCTTTTGAATAGTTAAAATTGGATGATAAATGTTTTTATAACAAGTTATTAATTATTTCTTTTTATCATTCAACTGAAAAAGAAATGGCCACAAAGAAAAAGAGTCATTCTTCATTACTTGAGCAACTAACTAGTGCATACCTGGAATTCATGAAATACATTTAAATAAATATTTCAGCCGTGTTTATGATTTTTAATAATAATAATAGCTTTCTATAGAGTAAATTCTATTCCATTAAACCTAGGGCACTGAACAATAATATATTGTTTAGCTATGTGTTATTTTATGTATTTTATTGAAACATTACATATACTGAATGATGGACTTATTACACATCGTGGAGGACCAATTGAAGTCACTCCATTTAAAATACTAGTTTTACTTGATGATTAAGAAAGACAGTATCTGACTGAGCTGAGCAGAGAAAAGAAAACAATGAGAAAAAGATTAAAATAGACTTCGGACACAAACACTTCAAATCAATATTTCAATTGGACCAGTAATTTTTGATAGTTAAACAATATATATGAAAAAAAAAGATAAAATATCTCTGTTTTTGTTGCTCATTCCTCTCTATACATATGTAAAATAAGCAAATACGGTAAAATGGGGGTGAATAGGAATCGAGATGTAAATAGGGACAGAAGAGAGGTGAATTGATACTATGAAAAATATCCCAATATCGATTCACCCCTCTTCTGTCTCTATTCACCTCTCTATCCCTATCCACCCCATTTTACCGTATTTGCTTATTTTACATATGTACAGAGAGAAATGAGCAAGGAACTCTATGGTTACACTTTTTCAATCAATTTTACAAAGTTGTGGGTCAGTAAGCTACTTCAATAATGTTTGTAACACCAATTAAAATGCAAATTATATTATGTTTTTATAATAACTATCGTGAGACATACTGAATTAACCAAAATTCATGAGTTACTCCCGAAAATATACTGAAAGACCACTACGCGAGGTCACTGCGACTGCGCATGCTGCTCATGAGGAAGAGTCCCTCTATGACTCGAAACTAGTAGAGCTTTTAATAACTAAAAATCGCAGGTTACTCACGTGAATATACTGAGAAAAGCCCTACTAGTTTCGAACTACAGAGGGGTTCTTTCTCATGAGCAGCGTGCGCGGTCGCGGCAATGTCGCGCAGCCTGCTAACAGTATATTCACGTTAGTAACCCGCGATTTTTAGTTAATTTAGAATGTGTCACGATAGTTATTATAAAAACATAGTTGAGCTTCTCTCAGTAGGTATATTTATGTAACTCGTGATTTTTTAGTTCATTAAATTACATTATACTAGTTATTTTATCAAATGTCTGTGTAGTGGGTAGTATTATACTTAGATTATTGGGTTAAATGCTAACTAACTAGTTCTTATAGAAACTAGAAGTACTTGACACCAAGTTAATCTGCTGTAATAATGATAATAATAATTATGGTCACCTCGGTGATAATCAACCAGGCCAACAAAGTTGAATAAGCTATTCTTGTTTTATTCTCTATGGACATGATATTTGTAACTCAATCACCAAAAAAGACTGATCAAATCTGGATAAAATCTGACTCTAAAATAGATCACTTATCATAATTATTATAATGCCATATTTTTTTTTGCAGACAGAAACCCAATGCCATGTTTTATAAGGCGTAGGTATTTTAGTTTGTTTTTGAATTATGACTAATGTGATAAATTTAGGGATCGAAGTTCGATTTGTTAGTTTTTACTTTCACACTTTAATATAAGTTTTCCACGCGACCAAAGTCGCGGACCACAGCTAGTAATTAATATATGCGTGAACTTCAATGAACAAGTTTCTCGCATAATGTGAAATTAACATTGAATTTATTTGTGACAAAAATGTCGGCTCTATGTAGGAACCAGTTTTTTAAACCATGTTTTAGCGATAATATCAAATGTCCAACTTGTCTGATAATATAGGTTAACATTTACACTTATTGTTTTTATATCTAAAACCCAATATACTTAGTTGGTCTAATAATAATCAAGATGTCTTCATTATAATGAAAATCCATAATTTACCCCCGCGGCTTCGCCTACGTGACCAATGAAAATAGTGGCCTATAAAAAGTTGTGCGGTCAAAGGAAAACAGTGTCCCTCGAGCCCCCCAATTTAAGACCATAAGAACAATCGTTGTTCGCATTTATAAAATTATATATTAGTAGGTAATTTCTCTCTAGAACATTATTATAGAAATAGATTCATTCCTAAGTCGAAAAGTGGGCGTATTGTATACGTCTGCTCGTTTACACTCTACAAAAATATTCCTATAAGTAGGTACTACACTATTACGTGCCTCAAAGAGCCATCAGACCACCACGGATGAGGCCCAACAGGGCTGATGCCGATTCGGAGTCGCGGAGAACCTAACGGGTTACCGGGGCTCCGGTTCGACTTGCAGGAGAAGGAACGGTGTGGTTTTTAGTCAGTAAGAGTCTGACACTCCCTCCCGCCTCACCCAGACGGGAGCAGCCATTCGATGATTATCCCCCCTTAAAAAAACATTATTACGTACACTATAATAATATTTTATTCCTTGCCCATATTATCCGACTGTCTGGTGTTATTGGTTCATCCCGCTTTTTACATAGCTCGAGTCGTCTGTGCTCCATAGTTGTATTCCTTCATTTCTTTCCGTCATTATCACGTATCACAATGCGAGTTAGTGGGCCTAACTCCGACGAATTAATTGCAAAAGTTCCACCTCTAAAGACAGGTAGACTAAAGTGTCTCTTTACTTGTTTAAAACAGCTCTTGCCAACGGCCCCGAGGTCTCAGTAGTTCTTCAAATTACCTTCTCTACTTAACAATGCTACGCAGCATCCTATGACATTTTTTGCGTGCACTAAAACATTTTGTTTCATAAAGAAAATGTTTGTATATCCGTACGTACCTTGCGTTTACAGGATGTCAAAATAAATATGTACACAAGTCAAATATATACCTCGTTACCTACATCTTTATCTTTGAACACTAAAATATTATTTACCAGCCAAGCTGTCAGTCTAATGTTTATAACAACTCATGCATAATCTTTGGTTAAATATTATCAAATAGTTTGTGTTCATTTCAAACATAATATGGGCTGTCAAGTCGTTGGTAGAACAGCTACAACTATTGATTTAGAGTAAAGCTTTAGGTTCGATCTGGGTCGGGAGATTGTACTAGCTATTACGATTTTGATTTTGAAATTCTCTTTTGTACGATTGTCTAGAATTTCGTTCAGTTTCGTAATAAAGTTGTCTCCTAAACTCCTATGACAATAAGAACAAAATTGTCGAAAAGTGAATGCTTTATTTGAGACGTTTTATCACTATTCAAACATTATTACTATAACTTAAATCACTTATCAAGTCCAAATTCTAAATAGAAGTAAATAAATAATGTACTTTTTCTAATCATAAATTAAATAATAGGCCTATATTATTGACGCTTGTGTCCATGGCATTGGTTTTTGCCACTCCCCATTGGCGACCGTAGTGGCGTGTCGATAGTTCAATTACAATAGGTAAGGTCAAATTAGCTTCAAATCTGTAACCGTCAGAAATATTGGATAATAATAAGGTATACTACATTTCTTGCTATTAAATCTGCGTACAGAAGAACGCTATGGAAGAAGCGATTTTAACTTGCCAACTATTCAAATTCATTACTTTTTTCGAACTGTCAAAAACACAGAAATATTTATTATATCTATGGTCAAAAACGACAGTTTTCTATGAATTTTGTACGAAATGTGTATTGTGACGTCACGTTTTTTTAGCGGCAAACAGCATACTTATTTCTTAAAAAATGCTGGAAATATACTAACATTAAATTGGTCATAAAATCAATTAATGAAAATGTGATGATTTTTTAATATTTTATCGTAGGTACTGAACAGTCAAAATAATTTATTTTTGTAAGGAAAGTACCCAATTGTGTACCACATGGATTAAACTCAAGGTTCATCCAATAGACTTGCGAAAATTAGGTATCAAAAACACTTCTATTATCTATCTTCGTGCCTATTAGTACGCAGTAACACCTATAGTATCGTTTTGCATTGCAATCTTCACTCATGCATGGAGGACGATAATCCTATTGTTTTATAAGCCCTTTACTAATTCAATTAATACAAATCCGATTGCAATGAAATAGAAATAATGTGACCTTGATGTTTACAATATTCAAGCATTATTTAGCACAAATACATCATTTAATAATGATACTCCATGCCAAATTGCATCTAAATCTGTGTAGCAGTGTAGAAGTGAACTCTATTTCACTACATGAAGTTTCGCGTTTGTGATACAGTTGATAAGATGTGTATGGTCATCGTGTGTGGTCGCTCATCGGTTGTGTCCAATTGTAGCGTGTGTAGGAAGGTCGTTAGCTAAAATGGTAACGGTTTATATAAAGCCATATTTAATAGGTAGCTAACTGTTTTCGTAACACTTGAAAACAGTTCTAGATTTTTGGGGAACAGTAAAAATAATTGCTCCAAATTCTACACTATAAATAGTCTTGTTCGAATCTGTAGGAATAGATATCGATTTGGTCGTGAGACGCTATTTCATATTTGCTTTTGTCTTTTGATGTTGTTCGTGTAATAGCATAATTGGTCCCGCTCCCTTCGCTTGTTGGACAGTTTTGATGGAATTCCATAAAAGAAATTATCCAATTTGATCGTAGTAATTGGTGGCAGTCATTTTAATGGCACTGACTGTAGTAGAAGAGCCAACGTTGTTAAAACAAGATTCGATTTATCGATTCCTTGTGAAGTAGTTCATACTGTAGACAATGTAGGTCTCGGCTCGGGAATGGCGGCAAAATATTGACTACCAGCGTCGCCCGATATTAAATTTGCGCGCGTCAATATGCTTCCCAATTTAGGTCACACGTGGGTTCCAATTATTGAGGTGTGCTGGTGTTTTGAATACATTTCCTGTTACTTTTGGGGTAGAAAAGTTTAGGAATAAAGAAGTTAGGTACTTAATAATTAATGCATACACTTGCGACATACGATTTCTTTAGTAATCTTTTACTGGAATATCTTAAAGCAAATTAAATGATAACATAATGTAAGGCTACTGTTGAAAGTCGATGATCAATGTCCTCAATAGCAATAATTGACATTACTGTCCACTATACAATTATGAGCAACATTCATTGTAGAGTTTGTAGAGGTTTATGGTTGCTCTCTTAAATCAATGATTGCTCTCTTAAATCAGGCGTGCCCTATTTACTTGACCTAGATGTTTACGAGTGTGTAATTTTTAAAAGTACCAGTAAGTTTTAGTATCAAATAACACTAGAGCTTGGCAAATATATAACAATATTGCCCAGAGATCCACAAATCCCTGAAAGAAGAAATGACATAAATCAACATACACACATTTACCCTGTTTAAAAAAAAAACAAATATTAATTAAACAACCTTCTCTTCCAGTTGCCATAATCCTGGGTCTGCTAAACTGCATCAGTATTGTATTGCTGGATGTAGGGTGCCTCATAGCCGGTATCTGGCAGATGTTGGCCGGGTTCATAGTGATAGTGTGCGAGGCTCCGTGCTGCTGCTTCTTCATAGACTATGTCCAGACCCTCAGCGATAAGATGGAGACGAGGCCTTACTGGAACAAGGCAGCTTGTTATGTTGGGTGAGTGACCATTCTCTCTTGTCTTAAATACTTACAGTTCTACAAAATAAGAGGTAACATTTTTTTTAATTACATGATTTGATGTTTTCCTTTCAGTAGGCAGTCTATAGCACTATTATACATTTAAATTAGTTTTTTATCTACAACACAACCTAGGCCTCATATGCTACCCTACTGACTATTAACCCAGGCCAGGCTACTCATAGTTTAGCGTCGCGCGTTTGCAGACGTTACGACAAGTGCTTTTCTATAAAAAAAGTATTATTTAAATCTAGCAGACACAAGCTGCTTAAGAATTACTTTTGGGTCATTTCCAATAAAAAAAAAAATCTTTGCAGACGTCAATATCATCAACCTGAAATACCGATACATACTATTTCACAATTTCTAATTCTCTGATGGATTGATGATACAATAGGAATATCCTAATTGAAATACATTTAAGTATGTGTTGTATGAGTCAGCTGATAAAATTATATCAGGTGTACTGTAAACATGTTGCTTTTTAAGTCGCTCTTATCCGAGTGCTAATGTGTAGCCAACGTTGTGATAACTTGGACACTTGACGTGCCCTGAAAGACAGGAAGGTTCAGTGTCATTAAATAGGGCAACCGTCATTTATAAAGAATGGCTAAGTATTTGAGGAAATATCGTTAGAAGAACATAATTTTGGTCCAAAATATGTCATCAAATATTTAGCCATTTTTTTTTTTTAAGGGGGGAAAATCATCGAATGACTGCTCCCGCCTGGGTGAGGCGGAAGGGAGTGTCAGACTCTTACTGACTAAAAACCACCCCGTTCCTTCTCCTGCACGTCGAGCCGGAGCCCCGGTTACCCGTTAGGTTCTCCGCGACTCCGAATCGGCATCGGCCCTATTGGGCCCCATCTGTGGTGGTCTGATGGCTCTTTGAGGCGCGCGCGGAACGCGACGCGCCGTACGCTCGGGTCTGTTTCTGGTCGGACGGGGAGCCACCCATGCTCGCCGACCGCAGGCCCGCGCTTACGGTGGCCGGAGATCGTCCCGCGATCCCCGACGCCCGGTGTGTCCTTCGCGATGGCTGGGTCGCGAGGAGGCAGCGCTTCGCTGCCTCACGCGTCCCGCCTCCTCCTTAGCCAGCATGACTGCTTCGCAAAAGGAGGAGACGGCATCCCAGTCCCCCTCGCTCCGCATCATGGCCTGCACTAGGCCCGGACGCGAGAGGTCTCCATCGCCGATCACTTCCCTGACGGCACGGCGGTGCTCAGCCCACGCAGGGCATTCCGCAACAGTGTGTTCCACCGTGTCCTCAGGGTGGTCCTCGCAGTGATGACACCCGGGCGTTTCCTCCCGCCCCATCAGACACAGGTACCTCCCGAAACTTCCATGTCCGGTGAGGACCTGCGTCAGGCGGTAGGTGAGGACGCCGTAGCGTCTCTCAAGCCACTCCTCAAAGAGGGGACTTACCGCTGCAATGGCAGCGAGCCCAGCCCTCGGTTGCGACAGTCGTTGCTGCCATTCCGCCATGAGATCGCGCCGGAGCTCATCCCGCCACGCACTTATATGGCGCGGCAGAAATATTTAGCCATGGGGTCTGAATTTTAAAAAGCGAGAAGATGTTTATCCTAATGGGGAGTGCAGAAGGGTACTTAAGTTACTCTATTTCTCATTCGGTATGCGATACTGGTTTTGGGTAAGCAGTAATCTTTTTAATTAACCTCATTGACACGAACTGTAAACAGTTCGTTAATAACTGGTAACAACAGGGAAAAACGTTAATAAATATAAGTAGGTATGGTAAATATCATTCAAGGATATCTTTATGTAAAGTTTCGAATAAATATTTATTGAAGGAAAACCTCAAGGAAATTTTAAATTATAAGAAACACTCACAGTGTTGTGACGTAGCAATGTCGTCAGATCTGATTCATTGATTTTATCAATGCATTCATTTAGTTAGGTATGTAAAACTTTTATAGATAAAAATAAAATACATTACATTAATTTAAATCTATTTCTTATCTCTTCGCTCATCACTGACGCGGCGAAACAATGTAATGCAAACGTTGTTTCACGCCGGTTTTCTAAGGCCATGGTATTATGCCGTTTGAGCCGGCCCGTTCGTGCCGAAGCATGGCTCTCCCACACTTTACTTTTCAGCAAAAAACTGCACTAGCTTATCCAAAAACCACGATCTCTAACTCGTTGCGAACCGTGGAGATTAGTTCTTTATGCCAAGCCCGCCGCACATGCTCACACTCGCACTCATTCTCGACACTGTGCTTTGACATTGGTGGGCATGTCCACTATTGTTTCCACGAGCTGTCAATGTACACCAGTCAGTGTCTTTACCATTGGTAGATGGAAGATGGAAATAAAGCAAGTTGAATACGCACGTGCCGACCAATGTCAAAGCGACATCGAGAACTAGTGCAAGTGTGGACATGTGCGGCGGATCTTATGTAGAGGAACCGCATAGTGCACGACGCGGGCTGTTGATGATAATAAATCGTGCAATAAAATTTTATAGCATGCATTGTAAATTGGTATGCATCACGAGTGGTGCAGCATGAAAGCCATTGTGTAACCGATGTGTTAAATAATAACTTTAATACCGTTTAGCTGTTACTGAAATGACTCAATCGTTGGACATCGGTCCTTGTTATTCTATAACAAGATTTTGATGCCGGCTTTCTGTTGCGTTTACGATGGATATAAAAAAAATGAGATGCCTCCCATTCATCATGGGGAAGTAAGGAGTTAGAACTTTTCTTAACGAGTTTTTTGTCAAAATGAGTGTCGTTCGTGGATCGACACTGTACAACAAGTATCGGAAATCCAATTCCTGACAAGTGCGTCACATGCGCATGTTACTAAATTGGAAGCTATTTTTTACTTTGTTGAACACTATTTTTATGTAACATAACATAACATCACGCCTTTTATCCCCGAAGAGGTAGGCAGAGGTGTACATTATGCCACTGTACAATGTAACACCCACTTCTCACTATTAATGTTATGAGTCCCATGTAATAGGGGGTGAGCCTATTGCCATATACCGGGGACAATTCCAGGCTCCTTGCTACTGCTAAGAATTTTTTAAAAAACCCTGTACTACTTTGCCCGACCCGGGAATCGAACCCGAGACTTCTTGCCCGGCGACTTGCGACCACTCAGCCAACGAGGTAGCTATTTTATATACTGTTACTATAATATTTTTATCTGCAATTTCAGGCTCTCAGTCCCTCCATTCTTCATGTGTTTCATAAGCATGAGCACGTGGTTCGGCAGCGGTCTGATCTTCGCCACCGGCATCATCTACGGAATGATGGCATTAGGCAAAAAGTCAGTATAACACAGACACTTATTATATCAACTATACTCGATTTCATTTCAGACGCGTACTATGACATTTGAAGTGATTTAATCATATTAAAATGTCGATTGAATTTTATTATTAACGATTCTAAAGTCAAGTACAACACTACATCTTTCAACACGATTTTATCAGCACTACAACTATAGTAACGTTAAATACAAACGTCACAGTAACCTTCACAAATGAAATTGAGTATAAATAATGTAACTAACTATGATTGGGCGTGGGTTTCTCTAACACTATCTCCTGCTTCAGTGGGTTTGGGCTGTGTAATCTTTTCGCTTCAATTAGACTTTATTTAAATAGGTAATTTATTTACTCCAAAATGGTATTATGTTATCTGAAAGTTAATAATATATATAAATTGGTATGTCAAAGATGAATGAATAAATGGATGAAGAAGTGCAATAAATATTTAATACGTTTCGTTTTGTCTATTATTACATAGATAAAGTTTGTAACGCACCTGTTGTTTGCTTTATCGTATGAATCGTTAAATGATGTATGAAAGTGTGACGTCATCTCATATTATTTTAACACTTATTTAAACGAATTTTGAAGAAAAATCTAGCTTATAATATAAACCCAACAGAGAAATAACTAATAAAAAAATTATTATTATATCAATAAAAGCTTTATGTATTTAACTAAGCAGTGTAGCGTGTAATGTAACTAATACTACGTGTGTGTGTGCGCGGGGGTCACAGGGGGTCTCGCGACGACATGGCGGCGATGGCGGCGGGCGGCACCACGCCCCCGGGCGCTCCGCTGTCGGCCTCGCACGACCACAACGTCACCCTCATGGAGGACCCCGACGTGTGGCGCCCTAACTAAACGAGGCACGCATCACTAAAACATGTACCGTCTGACGCATGCTTTCTCATTGCATGAACTGCTGGCTTTTTGTTTTTGTGGAATTTTTCTTTGGAGCCAAGTGATAATAACAAAAGAGGTTTTGATATATTCATAAAATATAATTAGAAAGGGGTTTCATTTAAATCTTTTTTTATTGTTTAAGTTTTGTCAATATGTCAAAAAATATAATTATGTTACATGGGTATTGGCTCACGAAGAATAATTTTATAAAAACAAATGTCATTTCATATTCTCCGCTTGATTCGTATTTGTCTTTGTTTTTGTCCTTAGCACAGGTTATCTTTATTTTCTTATTTTCAGCTTACGGGAGCACAGTTTAGTTTTGTCTTCTGTTTTTTTTTTCGTTTTATGTAAGAAGCTAGCATGTGTTTACATTTATAAACAAATTTTCTTTCTTTAGTTTTGATTCCTTATTTTTTATAAATTTTATTTCTATCACAAATTCATGGTTGAAGAATGAGCACTCCATTTGTTCATTAATCTGTGACCTCAACTAAAATTTTGTTTCAACGTATGCAGAGGATCTATAGAAGACATGAGGACGTCGGCGGCGAACTTGGAGGCGGGATCTGGTCAGCCAACGAGCGCCCCGCGTGCCAACCTCGTCACGAATGAACAGCCTGTCAGCTTCACCGGCGTCCCCGTGCGCAACTGACCTTATAGTCCTCGTACCCCGTGAGTCTCCTACTTCCTTATGCGCTCCTGGTACTCTCGAACGCGCTCACCATGAACTCTTTGGTACTTAGAAATTTAAACAAGCCTTTTTACTGCTTTTTTAACAGATTTTAACTTCTATTCCGTAGGCATAAGGATGGCATTAAAAGTAAAAATATCTTATGTTTTCTGCTGACGACATTTGCCTTTCCTCCAACGTAATAAGAGTCAAAATCTATTGCACGGACAGCATAAAAGGTTTATTATTATGAACGGAGTACTGTCTTTCAAATCTTTTTCCTATTTGCACGACTAGGACAGGTATATTAAAGCCAAGCCAAAGTAACGTGCATTTATCTTTGACTGTCTTACTAATTGGTAACTTATTGACGTAGGCATAAGGTTCATCTTCCATTAACAAGTGCGTTTGAAACTTTGAAGAGTTCATGGTGATGTGTTAATGACGTGCAATTTTCACTTGATCAATATTTTTATCGTTGTTGTTGTGACAGAGTGCTTGTTTTATACCTATTTATATTTTCTAGCTAAATATACTGAAAATGTTTGTTCTTCATAATTATTGTTATTGTTCGTTCGTAGTATATTGGAGCGCATACTAAATCTTACAAAGACTTTATCAATGTCTCTCAACGGTGCAAGTTGATGAAACTTCTCCAGTAGGGATGTAGAGCAATATTCACAATAAAAACTCCTTAGTTTAGTGTTGCCAATAAAAACCAGTGTCCTCCATACAAAATAATAGTATTGCCAACAATATAATTTGAGTCTGCTTGTAGATAGTTAATATTTTCGTCTATGGTAACATTAAATATGTATGATATCCAGTTATTTGTTATATTATAGAGGTTTATGAACTAAACACATATTATAGACATATTGTACCATATCGCTTGGCCCATAAGAGGAGATTTAAACTAAAATAGATATTATATCGGTTGCAATAGAGGCTCTTTTTCAATAAGTGGTCTTTGTAATAACATGTTCATAATAAAGGACCAATGCATTTGAAATCTATTTAAATGAACCTCAAAAGAAGTTTTTTTAGGAGAATTATTTATTTATATGAACTTAATGGCTGATCAAGTTATTATGGAGTGGCTTCAAAACTAAAGTATTAAGGGAAAATATATCTAATGTTATAGAGTTACGTCTCATATTCATATTAATCGCTACGTCAATTTTGAAGCCAGAACGTTATATTGTAAGGAGGAATTCTTGTACTGTAAACGAATGCGCATCAAATTAAACATGTACTAGTATAACCTGACCTTGCATTGTGTGAATTTTTCAAGTCATAACAGGTCAACTTATGCTAGACATTTTTAGTTTGATAAAAATGTCATTTGTGTGTTGTTCTAAGACCCCTAAAATCGTAACTTTCATATTTATTATTATTTTTTGTAAGGAAGCGATTTGTGGACGTAGTCGAGGGCTGTTAATATTGTAATAAATTGTTTAATGTTTAATTTATTTGGGAAACAGTGCAAAATGACTCTTGTTTTGAGTTTTATGACGCAAATCTGTTGTTTTTGAGGATAAGATGAGATAGGAATTACATTTAGATACAGTTTAATGAGTAATACTTGGACAATTTCAAAAACATACAGTTTGGACATTGTGGTTAACGTTTTTTGATGAGGCAGATGGCGCTCTTGTCGATTAAAATCCTCTTGGTCTTATGACCGTTTTCAGTTGACTATATGCACACAAAAACGATAATTTTCTATATCTCTAATGTAATTGCTACTCATATTCTATCTCTACAAAAAGCCAAGCGTCTAACATGCATACATATCCTCTAAACTGGCTGGTATAGATATTTATTTTAATTAGAAAATCATAATTTCATGATTATTAACAAAATCATAATTAATATTGCTCATATTTCGGTGATTATTTTTATTTAAATTATTAATTTAGAATTTGATGGTAACGCGGCCATTGTGTAAACGATTTTGATTCCAAAATTAAATGATAATGTTATAGCATAATACATAGTTAGCGAAATTTTCTTGACATTGGTGTAAAGTGTTTACTATAGGGTCTATTATCGTATAGCTACGCCTTCTTTCGTGCAATACTTCATCAATTCTTATGATGGTGTGATTATTTTCGGCAGCATTTTGTCTGAAGGTATTAAGACAAGGATTCTTTGCGTTTATCAATGATTTTTACTACGACGAAGCCTGAAGGCTAGTCGTTTTAGAATCCAAATATCAATTGTATGCATTCCGAAAATCGTACTGAATTTTATGGGTCTTTCCTTTTCATGTCTTATATATTCTAGATTATGTATGTATATCTTGCATGCCTTTAGAACGTAGTTCCTTATTGCATTGTTACGACAGTGTCAATTTATTGGAACAAATGTTTCGGTAATTATGGTATTTAGTATAGTGTGGGGTCGCACTCAAGTTCTACACGATTATAATGTTATAAATAACCCCAGCCAGATATATCGTCGAGATAGTATAGATATTATCTACTAGAAATCTTGTAATACGTGTTTTAGACGGTTACTACTCGATTCGGACAGTTAAACGACTAGTTTTATAGGTCTGATGATTTTCTTGACTGGTAACACATTGCGTTGAGCTGTCAAATGATTTGTGACCTTATGATCTCGTGTAAAAAGTCGATGATTGTCTAATGACAATTTGGGTGGAAGTTTGAATATTAACCGATCGAATTTCGAATGTGTTGCCAAGTCCAATAAATGAAACAGCTAAGTAATTAGTTGTTGCAACTAACAATAATTATATTTAAAACATATTGAACACATTAGAAATAGAAATTGTTCTACAACACAATTTAAATAGATAAAATTATAACTGTTACTGCAATTGCAAGATATTTTTGTAAAATTACAATATAGAACGCCACAGTGACTGCATAAGTATTATTGTGTATAAGAAAGGCCCTAGTCTTAGGTAATATTTTGCTAGTTTTAACATTTTTGCTCACACACTCAATATTTTAGTGCAATAATTTTATTTGAATTTATTTTATGGTGTTGCCAGTAACAGGATTTTAAAATGAATTTATAAACTTGCAACACAATGGAATGTTTAATAATGTAACATTGTGCTTCCTTATTTACATTGATTTTTTTACAATTAAATACATCATAATTTTTACATGCATCGATTAATTTATGTATATTAAGCGAATTAATTGTTAAAATAAGAATTTACGTTGAGATTGTATATAGTATATGCTATGATTAAATTAATAAGTTGAGATACATTCTTGCTTAGCCTAAACACTTACAACTTTGTTAAATGTTCAGTTAGACATGTTATCCGAGATCGTTACTAGTTATGTTGCCTGTATACTTAGAGTTAGTGCAGAGATAAAAATAATAATACACTACATAGCTATACAAACCTCCTTTTTAAAATTAAGGTCCCGATTCTGCTCACTTAGGCATATGTAATGCTTTTTAAAAGATACCAGAATAGGGGCCCACCATATTTCAAGATGGCGGAATAGTTGTTTCCCGCCAAAACTATAACCAAACTTTTGAAGAAGTTGCGAAGTTTTTTCAGCATTTCTTCATTCAGCATCAGTATATATGTTTTATTTGTCCCTGCACTGAAACTCAAGTAATGAGTAGTAAAAGTTGTTTGTAACTTTAAAATAAGTATACATAGTTGTATAGTGTAAGTGGTTGCAGTTGTTTCTTGTCAAGTTAATGTTATATTTAGGAAAGCATATCTGTAATAAATGTGTGTATATTGATGTTTTTGTTTTATTTTTACATTTAGTTCGATCGTTAAGCGGAAATATGGAGGTTGCCTGGAATGTTTTCCGGGAGTTTAATGTGCTCTTTCTGATTTCCATTTTGAAACCTCATACGTGGGCCGCTCGCGCCGCCATCTTGGAAAAATGGCGGCCAAAAACAACATACCTTTAAAAGACTACATAATAAAAAACTCTACTTTCATGTGATGTGGAATATTTTTTTGCAAAACGCTCATAAAAATGATCTTTGCTGAGCTCTGGCGCCAAGACTACTTATATTACAAAAAAACTGTCTAGACATGAATTGTAGGAAATTATGAGTACCTATTTTAATTAGTCAAAATTTTTTCCTAAAATACACAGTTAAAAAGAAGATTGCAAATATAACTGTTTTTGGCCGCTATTTCCATTTTACCAGGATAGCAGAGCACGTACGAGAATGCAAAATGGAAATCAGATAGAGCACATCAAAATCTACAATATGGCCAATTTTCGCGAAATATATTTCAGCTAGAACTACCAAATGACAGCTAATTTAAATTAGTGAATGTGAAATACTAGCTCATAAACTCAAATATTTTATTTGAATTAGTACAGCTAGGACTGGTAGACTACAAAACAAGAAGAAATAGATATTTGAAGTAATTTGTCACAACATGCCAATAGTAGGTACCTAATAAGTAATATGATTGGTGAAGGAATTCCAGTTAAAACAAACATTGATAAAACTTTTTTTACTTTTTTTTGTTGGGCTAAATAAACCTACCACAGCTTCCCTAAATGCTGCAACTCCTTGAAGCCAGGATCTAAAGTAGATGCAACCATGAAAACACCGGAACACAAGTTCGGCGCGCCCCAGGGACATGAATAACTGTCTTGCGTCCCGCAACAAGATGAATCAGAAGATAAGAGAAAAAAAAATTTAGACAAGTGAAAACTTGCAAGAGTAAAATTTTATTTGGGTTAGTACACTTTGCTTACTACACATTCACGAGTTCAATCTAAAAAAAAGAAATAACATTAATTGAAACAACAAGGAAAAGTAAAAAAAACATAGTTTATAATATAAAATAGTTTATTTACATAGATTTAAACAAGTTACATATAATGGTTATTTATATTTTAAACATTTAATAATTCACTGACTCGATCATTTTCCGAGGATAACTTTCAGTCAATACCTATTATAAATCTTTCACACGGCCCAGTTGTCTCTTGCTTGTATCCTGTAACATAAATTAAATATAATAATAGTTTAGTTAAACATAGTTTTAATTTAACAGCTTACTTATAGCTAGAATAGAATTGGGAGTGTGGAATTCTTATTTCCTATCTCATATTCCTCCTTATCACAATCACTGAGCTAGTAACCTATCACCTCTGCGGAGCTATTAGATCATCTAGACACACATCAGTCCCACAGCTCCCACTGTTATTTGACCTAACAAATAACACACACTTCTATCTATTTGCATTCTGCCTACCTCATAAAGGTACGTACCTGCCAAGTTACAGAAAAGCTACGATTTCTGTTTGATTATCGCTCCTGTGATGGTTCCATGTCGCTGAATCAAACACTGCTTCTTGTCCGTCTCCAAGCACACAGTGGGAGGTTTCAAATTCGGTTGTATTTTACACGCCTGCTCCGATATCGCCACTACTATGCCCGCTGAGTCAACGTGTGCTGTGCCTTTAGCAGCTAAACATAGTCCTTGGTGGTCCGCCACTAAACACCCACTCACATTAGGAGTTGACATTATCTCCTCTACTACTTTGTCCAATTCCTTTTCCATGATTTTCGAGTTAGTGGATTATAACAATGAATGTATTTCTGTTTACGAAATGAAAGAAGGAAAACAAAATCTTTGAAATGTTCCGTAAATCTGTCACTATGACAGTATTCCAATACATTGGTAACCATAGAGCAACACGGGCCACCGGCGGACCGGAGGGGAGTAGCCATACGCAGGCGTTCCCCTCTGTCAAAGTATAAGTCCAAATGGTCCTATGCGTACAACAAAACTAGTTGCAACTCAACTGTTTACCAGACTAAATCTAGTTGCGTTTGTGAATCGACGGCGTCGTAAAAATGCCGAATTGTTCTGTTTTTTGCTGCAAAAAGAGATCTGCCACGTCGTATTTACAAAAACATAGTGTTACCTTTCATATTAAGTAATTTTTAATCACATTATTGCTATTTACTTCTTATTAACTTAAAAAAACTACAATATTATCAATCGTCTTGTTTCGGATTTGTTTACCAACAAATCCGTGCGTACTCATACAAAACGCGGATCGGTCGAGCGACAGATCCGAGTTTTTTTCCTAGAATTCGCTGTCGCCGAGCGATAGCGTTGTTGCCGGTTTGTCTTTAGATAGTTATCGATAAAAATGTGTGAAGGTGAAGTCAAATGTGAGATTTTTTGGGATTAAGTTTTCTGATTTAAATAAAAAATACTGAGTGAGAACTTCAACTATATTTATTATTATTATTATTTTATTTATTTATTGCAGATTTCCTAAAGATCCAAATTTAAGAGATATATGTAAGACATTTTGTCATAACAGACCAACCTGGATTCCCACAAGAAATATTGCCATTTGCTCAAATCAAGATGTATTAGCAAGATTAATAATGCAAAAATATACTGATACAATAATTTCTAACTTATTGAAAAAAACAAACCCCCAAAAATGTATTCGTCATATCTAAAGAAAATTAATCTATTTTAAAAAGCAGTGATAGTTCCGTATCAGTATTTCATCGCTGGTTTTTAAATGGGATTAGTAATTTAATTTATTTAAAAAAATGAAAATTTTATTTGTTATTATTATCTTGTCTGATTATTGTAGTAGTAGGTAGTTAGGGGTATAATAATTAATTAGGTAAAAAAATGGTATAATAATTAAAGTCAATAATAATATCTGTCTTTGAATAATTTTTTAAAGCTAATTTCCTTAACGGATTTCTTGAATTTATCGATAATGCGTATCGATAATTGTTACAACTGCGGATGTAAGTGTAGTTGCGTCATATTATTACACTATTACGACAGGGATTGTTTAAATGTGTGTGTGAAATTGTCAGTGTATTTTTCAATTGTCATAGTGTGAGTTTCGTAGTGACATAGAATGTTTTTGTGTGAGAATTTGAGAATGTGTGATTTCCCCCCGCAAAAAATGACAGACAGTTTTGTATCGGTTTAAAACGCAATGGCTACTCCCCTCCGTGTTGCTCTATGTTGGTAACATTAAATATATGTGCGTCCCTTTCTGATTTACTTATAACGCCCTGCTAGGTTTATGTTTCATGCTATAAAATGTATTTGAAAGTAGGTCTTGGAACGCACGGACATAACAAAATGCTGTCACTGTCAAGCCATCATTATCAGTGACAGTGGGCAAAATTGTAGATGCGTTCAGAAATTATTCTTTATTTTGTCTTATTTTATGACTGACTCATCTTGGAAGAAAAAGAGTCAGGATCATGTACAAGAACGATTTTATATATGAAACAGTTACAGTTATACGTTTACCGAAACTTGCATCATCACATCAAAGACAATCTGTTTTGTTTATTGGAAGTTATAAAATGTCTAATCCACTAGTACGGAAAAGAGGTCGTTACATTAGCAAGGTCACAGCGTCCGAATCCCATTATTACAGTTATAAATGATAACCTTACATTAATCGCATTATACAATTGACATTGGCATACATTTCGGCTAATACTCAATAATAAAAGATTATTATCCTTTTTGTTACGTCGATCTAAAACTAGAAATTTTATCACCCACCTTGATTAATACGCTACACTCAAACATGGTCGATTAACCCATCTAATTTGTATTTTGGTAAGCGTGAAAACACCATTAAATGAATTTAATTAGTTAGTTAAAACAGTTGCCAACTATTAACAAGTACCTACTTTAGTTATCATCACAAAGATCGGAGGACTGTACGAATATACTAACGATTTTAACAGAAGGACAGTTTTATAACATAGGTAGGTACTTGAAGCCGCACAAGGGTAAACATAAAAATACTTACGGATTCCATGCATCCTAATTTCGCAATAATGCACTAGTGGATAAGTTGAACCTTAAAGTTTTCAAGTTCAAGTTGACGTATCTTTTGGTCTTGAAAAACCTGTATCCTACGAAACCTTGTGTTTTTAGTTGTATTAGTATCGTCGACGGGGCAACTCGTGCCGTTGTGTGAAGCAGTTGCCATGCTACAGCTAATCGTGTACAGTTTACTGATCTTCCTAACATGTCTAGCTGTATTTGATATAATCAGACTTTGCGCTTATGGAAATCAGGACACTAAAAGAAGACTGAGAATCTTTTCAGGTAAGTTAATTTCTTATTGTTTTTATTACTAAGTAACTAGGTACTAGGTAGGAAGTTAAGTGTCAGTGATTTGCGCGTCAACTAAGTTTTTTACTTAGTAAATAAAACAAATCAAGGGTGACAAACTTAACATTGAGTTGGTACTGTAAAGTAAAGGATCAGTAACAACTAAGTACTTATAGGTAACAACTAAGTATGTAGGTAAATTAATGTTAAATTGTATTTCTACAGTGTGAATTTAAGTCTGCACATTATAATTTATTCAACAGAAACAAAATAAATATGTAATAACTACGTATGACAATAATAGGAATATCGGAACAGTGAAAGACGAACACTTTAGTGAACTTTAAAGTATATTTTTACTTTCTGTTAGCTGTTTCTATCTAATATAATCATTTCGAGGGTGTTCCTCAAGGTCCAGTGTGTCCCCAGGGAATAAAAGCTTATGACGAATCTAAGATATAGATTATAGTATTTTGGGATTAACATAAATTTATAATAACATAAACGTGGCATTTGATTTTGTTGAAAAACATCTAATTAATAAATAAATTAGTGAGAGACTAGAAAGAAACAAGTCTAGCCACATTGAGAGCAGCATTAACCAGTTTTGTTTCGTTTGTCTCAACGAATTTACGAATAGATAATTAATTTGCATGCAACGTTAGATTCAGTAAGTTGAACAAGTATTTTTCCAGAAATTATTTTGAGTTCAGATTAAAGTTTTTTTCCGCCATGAGCTCAAAGACTTCTTATGTGAGGAATGTTTTATGGTCTTAAGTGTTTACGGCCGATATTTTTGAAGTTTTGACTTTATAAAAATGTAAATAATATTTTTTGCATTATTTGAATAATAATTAATTACAAAAATGGAGGGTAGAAATTGGATAACGCGCGTACGAGGTTTATAGTTGGACGTGATATTGAGATTTATTTAAGATTTTTCAGACATGGTTAGACCTACGGTCTAAAAAACGTAGACGTAGTGTATCTTATTCTATCATGGTTATACATGATCCTATGTCTGCGATTGTACGAGTGCTAGGTGAACGTCTCACAAAGTGAAATGCATCGGAAATAGTAGGTAAACATCAAAATGATTTGTTTAATGTTCAATCTATTAGCATTGACATTTTGTCTACTAAGGGTTCCACAGGGTGCAGTCCTTGGTCCTATACATGTTCGTCTTCAGACAGGAGCGGAAGGAGGGTAGTGAGGCGTTTGCCTTGCAGTGGGACAATCACGGCTGAAAATAAATAAATAATACATATTCTTTAGTTAAATACTAGGCAGCTTAGGTAACAATCAGCAAATGTGAGCAATAAAAACTTTACTTTTACGATCACGCAAAGCGATTGAGCAAGTACTTATTGGGACATTGTTATTTTAATTTAATTGTTCTCATGCGAGCTCATGCTTCTCACTGTAATGTGTTTCAAGTTTCTTGACATCGTTTCAACAAAATTTGTAAAGAATTTTGTACATTTTACCAAAGATAGTTTTGTTTCTTTTGGTTTCATAGCTTGATTCACTTTGCTATCTATTTTACTGTCTCTATTTTACAGCCTTTCTTATAAAACTTGTTGAGCCTTTGAATTCTTTATCTCTTGCACCTGTTCAAAAACATCTATAAATCAAAGTTAAAAAGTATAGCCATCTATATCGGATAATTATTTTGTTACTTACATTGCGTGGGATTACTAGGTAAGGGAGATAGGTACCTTCTTACTATCCGTGAACCCAGGTGACCTAGAATCGGGCACATTGCAACATGCAAGAATGTGCGAGTCTCGCAGTGAGAGCGCGACATGCATTTAGTCGACTATTGTTATAGTTAGATGGTATGGTAGACATGATTTAGTGTTAAGTCTTTAGTCCACAATAATAGGCATACAAGTAACTATAGCTAGGTATATTAAGTCTGACACTATTTTAAATTTCCCTGCTTTAAATTGAATGTAAGTAAATACAATAATTAAATTTTAGTAATTCTTTACAAACAATGAAATGTCTGCAGTCTGGCCACTGACACTGCCACAAACAATATTAAAATAAAATTAGGCTAGTACTTAATTAGTCTAAAAAGAAAACAATGCAAAGCAAAGAAAAATACCAGAGCAATAGAATACACAATAACTAATTTATAATGTGGGAGAAAACCTTGATTATAAGTTAGATTTCAAGTAGATAAATATTTGAGACAGTAAAAGTACTTTTATTTCGAAGCAGTAAGACTGCTTTTCGCGGTTAAAAACTACACAGTTAAGTGTTAGTCATATGGACGCTAAGTGTCGTTGCGACAGACAGATTTGGCGCCTAAAATTTATCGTGATGCAATTCAATATGTACAAATCCAAAGTTCCATGACTAGATTTGAAGATTTTGTAATGATATTGTACAACATTGCAAAAGTATCGAGTTAAAAAGTATGGTATTAG